GTGGGTATAGGGCGTGAGACTTGAGAGAGACAAGTGTGTGATCTGTGGGTATAGGGCGTGAGACATGAGAGAGACAAGTGTGTGATCTGTGGGTATAGGGCGTGAGACATGAGAGAGACAAGTGTGTGATCTGTGGGTATAGGGCGTGAGACATGAGAGAGACAAGTGTGTGATCTGTGGGTATAGGGCGTGAGACATGAGAGAGACAAGTGTGTGATCTGTGGGTATAGGGCGTGAGACATGAGAGAGACAAGTGTGTGATCTGTGGGTATAGGGCGTGAGACATGAGAGAGACAAGTGTGTGATCTGTGGGTATAGGGCGTGAGACATGAGAGAGACAAGTGTGTGATCTGTGGGTATAGGGCGTGAGACATGAGAGAGACAAGTGTGTGATCTGTGGGTATAGGGCGTGAGACATGAGAGAGACAAGTGTGTGATCTGTGGGTATAGGGCGTGAGACATGAGAGAGACAAGTGTGTGATCTGTGGGTATAGGGCGTGAGACATGAGAGAGACAAGTGTGTGATCTGTGGGTATAGGGCGTGAGACATGAGAGAGACAAGTGTGTGATCTGTGGGTATAGGGCGTGAGACATGAGAGAGACAAGTGTGTGATCTGTGGGTATAGGGCGTGAGACATGAGAGAGACAAGTGTGTGATCTGTGGGTATAGGGCGTGAGACATGAGAGAGACAAGTGTGTGATCTGTGGGTATAGGGCGTGAGACATGAGAGAGACAAGTGTGTGATCTGTGGGTATAGGGCGTGAGACATGAGAGAGACAAGTGTGTGATCTGTGGGTATAGGGCGTGAGACATGAGAGAGACAAGTGTGTGATCTGTGGGTATAGGGCGTGAGACATGAGAGAGACAAGTGTGTGATCTGTGGGTATAGGGCGTGAGACATGAGAGAGACAAGTGTGTGATCTGTGGGTATAGGGCGTGAGACATGAGAGAGACAAGTGTGTGATCTGTGGGTATAGGGCGTGAGACATGAGAGAGACAAGTGTGTGATCTGTGGGTATAGGGCGTGAGACATGAGAGAGACAAGTGTGTGATCTGTGGGTATAGGGCGTGAGACATGAGAGAGACAAGTGTGTGATCTGTGGGTATAGGGCGTGGGACTTGAGAGAGACAAGTGTGTGATCTGTGGGTATAGGGCGTGGGACATGAGAGAGACAAGTGTGTGATCTGTGGGTATAGGGCGTGGGACATGAGAGAGACAAGTGTGTGATCTGTGGGTATAGGGCGTGGGACTTGAGAGAGACAAGTGTGTGATCTGTGGGTATAAGGCGTGGGACTTGAGAGAGACAAGTGTGTGATCTGTGGGTATAGGGCGTGGGACTTGAGAGAGACAAGTGTGTGATCTGTGGGTATAGGGCGTGGGACTTGAGAGAGACAAGTGTGTGATCTGTGGGTATAGGGCGTGGGACATGAGAGAGACAAGTGTGTGATCTGTGGGTATAGGGCGTGGGACATGAGAGAGACAAGTGTGTGATCTGTGGGTATAGGGCGTGGGACTTGAGAGAGACAAGTGTGTGATCTGTGGGTATAAGGCGTGGGACATGAGAGAGACAAGTGTGTGATCTGTGGGTATAGGGCGTGAGACATGAGAGAGACAAGTGTGTGATCTGTGGGTATAAGGCGTGGGACTTGAGAGAGACAAGTGTGTGATCTGTGGGTATAGGGCGTGAGACATGAGAGAGACAAGTGTGTGATCTGTGGGTATAGGGTGTGGGACTTGAGAGAGACAAGTGTGTGATCTGTGGGTATAAGGCGTGAGACTTGAGAGAGACAAGTGTGTGATCTGTGGGTATAAGGCGTGAGACTTGAGAGAGACAAGTGTGTGATCTGTGGGTATAAGGCGTGGGACTTGAGAGAGACAAGTGTGTGATCTGTGGGTATAAGGCGTGGGACTTGAGAGAGACAAGTGTGTGATCTGTGGGTATAGGGCGTGAGACTTGAGAGAGACAAGTGTGTGATCTGTGGGTATAAGGCGTGGGACTTGAGAGAGACAAGTGTGTGATCTGTGGGTATAAGGCGTGGGACATGAGAGAGACGAGTGTGTGATCTGTGGGTATAAGGCGTGGGACTTGAGAGAGACAAGTGTGTGATCTGTGGGTATAAGGCGTGGGACATGAGAGAGACAAGTGTGTGATCTGTGGGTATAGGGCGTGGGACTTGAGAAAGACCGGCCGTGAACTAGGACATGAGTGTTAGCCGTCTTACAGTTTAACGATCTTCAAGTTGTTATCTGTTCCTTGGATTTTGTATGCGATGATATAACTTTGTGTACACCGTTTGTGTACAAGGATATCATTGTGTGTACTATGATGCCATTTGTGCAATTCGTGCATAAAGAAGAAGGTAATCGGACAGTGCGTCAATTGTTCAAATAATTTAGAGAAAGCGGCCCTAGTCTATTTCCATGGCCGCCATCTTGGCTTCTTAGACCCGCGCACTTTTACGTGTTCACGGGTCGAGGCAACCAAGATGGCGGCCATGGAAAAATAAAATAACTCATGTTTGCTAAAATTAGGAAGAAAACGTTAAAAATTTATGCAAAAATGTGTTAAATCGATCCCTATGCCTAACCCGAACCCTAACTCACTAAATCTATCCATATGCCTCACCCGAACCCTAAATAACTAAATCTATCCCTATGCCTCACCCGAACCCTAAATAACTAAATCTATACCTATGCCTAACCCGAACCCTAAATAACTAAATCTATCCCTATGCCTCACCCGAACCCTAACTAACTAAATCTATACCTATGCCTAACCCGAACCCTAACTAACTAAATCTATCCATATGCCTCACCCGAACCCTAAATAACTAAATATATCCATATGCCTCACCCGAACCCTAAATAACTAAATCTATCCCTATGCCTCACCCGAACCCTAAATAACTAAATCTATCCCTATGCCTCACCCGAACCCTAAATAACTAAATCTATCCCTATGCCTAACCCGAACCCTAACTAACTAAATCTATACCTATGCCTAACCCGAACCCTAAATCACTAAATCTATCCCTATGCCTAACCCGAACCCTTAATCAAAATCGATCCCTAAATCCTACGCCTAAAGCCACTAGTCAATAGTAAAAACACGTGGAATTTACGTAATGTGGTAAGAAAACGATAAAAATTAACAAAAAAAATGCCCAAAATAATGATAACATAAAGAAATGATGAAAATCCAACTTACAGTATTACAGTTTCATGAAATACACTTTTACACACTTTATTTCAGGTTCCAATGCAAATATAGCCACAAAATGAATGAATCTTCACACCCCACAGACACCCAAAGAAATCAAAGATGGCGCAACCAAATAAAAATGATAATGAGCCAACCAATCAAAATATTAAAATTATAATTAACCAACCAATAAAATTTTAATTCCGAAAATATAACTCTTTTAACAAAACAAAAATACAATAAATAAGGGGAGTGAATCCAAAACAAAGTTGTCGTGGGCCGCTATATCGGAAATAGCCTAATTTAGAGATCATGTGTTGTAGAGAGACCCTACAGCAATTGAGCAAGGGAAGTGACTATCAGAGTACAGGGGGAGTTCGTGACATTTTAAGATCTTAATGTAGAAATATCGTAACAGTGGTTGCGTACCGCGTCTCAAACTTACGATGAAGCAACATTTAACACCTGAACTACTTTAATAATTGAGTTTCCATGTCCTCCCCCCCCCCCCAGCTGATGACTCAATACGTCAACTGGATTCTAAACTTAGGAACTGTGGCCTTGAACCAAGAGAAGACAACAGGTGCGTGATTTTTGTGTGTGTTAAGTTATAGCTCAAAGGCCAACTCCCCCCTGCCAGACTCAATGCCTTAGTTATGAAAACTAAATGTTGACTATTTCAACTCGTGGTTTTGTTTCAATGTTATCCCTTACATCGCAAGCACCTCATTAGTTTCTTTTAATTTCTTTTTAATAAGGTCGGTGGGCATAGCTCATGAGGTCCGTGCCGAAGAGGGGGGCAGGTAGGGCCACCTCCCCCTCCCCACCCCTTGCTACGCCACTGAATAAGCTAACCTATTATCATAGAGCGGGCGGCAGCTTCAAGTGAAAACATTCCATGTCTCCTGAATCTGGATCTCCTTTTGATGCTTGAACGCGTCGGTTAATTCAGTTTTAATTAAAGAGCCTCCCCCCCCCCCCTTTCCATAGAAACAAAAGGCGTTCGTATAAAGCCATGATATGGCTATTCTTTTCTTATTTTGTTTTATCATTCTATTGCTTCACCGGGTTTAGTTTACCAACCATTTCAGACAAAACACTCTTAGAATCATAAGAAGAACAAAAAAATATAACGCAACCCAACACACTTGCGATATTTAAAAGAAAAAAATATCATTCTGCACAGTTATTTGAGTTATCGGGAATTTTATTTCGTGAAAATAGAATAAGTGTCAGCATAGTTCCATCATCTGTCCATTGAAAAACTGATTTTGGGGGTTGGGGTGGGGGGGGGGGAGAGCATATTATTTTTTAACGAATGTCTTGTCATCGGCAACGAGTCTGTGTGCCAAGTTTCAGCTCGATAGGTTGACGGCAAGTAGGTCAATTGGCCGTCCGAAGATTTTTGCCCTGAACACAGAACAACAACAACAACAACAAAAAAATGACACGAACTTGATAGTTCTTTTGGCCGTGACATGTTCTCCTCGTGTATTTAAAAGGTCTTCGGATCAACTTAAATGATTTTTGAACTAGTTGATTAGTTTTGAACTAGCCATAAGTTGTTCGGTCCTTAGACTTCAACATTAGACTGAAACGGATTTCTTGAACAAATTGCTACATCTTATTCCATACACCAATGACCTGTAACCAATGACATGCACAAATGACATGCACCAATGACATGCACCAGTGACATGCACCAATGACATGAACCAATGACATACACCAATGACATGCACCAATGATATGCACCAATGACATGCACCAATGACATGCACCAATGACATGCATCAATGACATGCCTTTGTTCTCCTTACAGACGGCGCTATAATGAAGTTCTTCTCGGGGGCGGCCCCGTGCTCAGCAACTACCTCAGCGGCGTGCTGGTGAAGGAAGAGGTGGTGCGGCAGCTGGCGTACATGGGCAAACGTCTGCTCACCATGATCAAGGAGGCTGGCGTGAAGCTGGGGATTAGGGTAAATAGGAAAAATGCCGTAGGTGTCTCGGGGTCGTATGTTGGTGGAAATGTAATCATGAAGTCTGGCGTAAAGCTGGGGATTAGGGTAAATAGGAAAAAAGCCTTTGGTGTCTCGGGGGTCGTATGTTGGTGGAAATGTAATCGTGAAGGCTGGCGTAAAGCTGAGGATTAGGGTAAATATCAAAAATGGCCTATGTGTCTCGGGGTCGTATGTTGGTGGAAATGTAATCATGAAGGCTGGCGTAAAGCTGGGGATTAAGGAAAATAGGGAAAAAAAGCCGTTGGTATCTCTGACTCTGGGGTTTATGTTGGTGGAAACGCATTGAGATAATTACTAAATATGAAAGGACCTATTGTTTAGTTTGGGGGGGGGGTTTGAATTCATCTTTCATCGCATCCATAAAACGAAGCAAATAACTAATTTAATTTATAGCAGATGAAAATAACAATTTTAAAAAATATATACGTTTAAGGAGTAGAATTTCAAGGTATACATTTTATTACAATATATTATTTTAAAGCTAAATTTCTTTCGACAGCAGGGACGTATGGAAATTGAAAGTTGTATTTCAATTGGTATGTAATGTGTCGCCTCCAGTAATAATCCCCCGAACAAGCCGACCAAGTTTTCGATTTGCCCCCCCCCCCCACCCCGGCAAAGCCCTGAAATGATAGGTCACTGGTTCATACAGGAACAGTAAAGCATTTACATAAATGAGTCTTAATCTTTTAAAAAAAAAAAAAATAATTAAATAATCAAGAGTCCTTGAAGTTGTGTTGGCTAAAGAACTTTTTGAAATGACATGTTTCGGACTATTTTCGTGGTGTGTTGGTGATCAGTGGCGAAGCCAGGATTTGGCACCGGGCTGTAGAAGTACCGCCCCTATTTCTATCCGCTTTATCTACATCGTTTCCTTTGATCTGCATTGCTCCCAATTACTTAAAAGGATAGGAAGAGATAATCGGTGTGGGCCGAGCCGCCCCACGTGTTTGGAGTTCGCCAACGTTACTTAACTCCCGGAAAGGTAGTGTTCCCTTTTTATTATCTTCTAAAAATGACACACATTAAAAAAGATATAAAAATTTGAATCTGACAGGAGTTGTATACTTGAAAAGGCCGTATACTTTTGGAACAAACGGTCTCAGGAGGGGGGGGGCGCCCCCACGCCCCACCCCTGCTTCACACTTGCTACGCAGCAGGCTTCATGTGGTAATTTCAGAAGAATTGATTGTTAAGGAAGTCTTTTGTTTCTTTCGGTCTCACAGGCCGATAACGGGGTTGTCCCACTGTACGGCACCCCCGGCGAGTGGTCAACACAGGGGCTCGACGGGCTGGAGGAAGCGTGTAAGAGGTACAGAGCCATGGGGGCGGAGTTTGCACTTTGGAGGTGTGTCTATAGTATCGGCCCTTTCACGCCCACGACACAGGTGAGATGGGATAGTCCTATTCAGAGTGCATGGGCGGAGTTGAACTTACGGGTCAATTTCATTGGGGTGGCTTTTTACGCGAGGTGGGACAAAAAAAAAGGGAGGTGGGGGGGGGCTTTTCATGTGTGGGGTGCAGTGGTATTTGGTGGACAGAGAAAATATGGCGTGGCTCAAAACTATGTCATAAAGCATTTATATGTCAGTCTAATGATTTTGTACATATACTACTGATTTTTTTTTTCTCCTCCGGCAATGTTGTTTATTGGTGATATGAATTGTAAAAATTCGAATATACTTTTTAATTCTGAGCTCCCTCTTGAAGTCGTCCAGTGAGGTCTCTGTCAAAGTGTTCCTCAATTCACTTGAACAAAACCACTTATTGGAAGCACGCTGAACCACTTTGTGTTGGGAAACTGTTTGACAGTGTGTTAGGATGTGTGTTGGCAGTGTGGTGGGCAGTGTGCTGGCAGTGTGTTGTCAGTGGGTTAGCCGTCTGTTGGCCGTGTGTTGCCAGTCTGTTGGACAATGTGATAGCAGTGTGTTGGCGTTGTGTTGACCAATGTGATAGCAGTGTGTTGTCAGTGTGTTGAGCAATGTGATAGCAGTGTGTTGTCAGTGTGTTGGGCAGTGTTTTTACAGTGTGTTAGCCGTGATTTGGCAGTGTGTTGTGCAATGTGATAGCAGTGTATTGACAGTTCTTTGGCCGTTTGTTGGACAGTGTGTTGACAGTGTGTTGACAGTGTGTTGACAGTGTGTTGGCAGTGTGTTGCAGTGCGTTGATAGTTCTTTGGCCGTATGTTGGCAATGTGAATTCTCTTATGATAGTTTTCTTATTGATTCTTGAAATCACTTCCTTTAATTTATAATCGTTTACATCAAACATTGCTACAGACCCTCACCTTAAACCAATTAATTTTCTCTGCGCACCTTACAAACACACAAGACTATATTTTCAATCTTCAAGTGATTGCACCTCTCGCAGGCCCTGATGTTCAAATCCTCAAATCATTGTTCCTCTCACATGCCCTGGTATTTTCTATCTTTAAATGATTGCACCTCTCACATGCCCTGGTATTTTCTATCTTCAAATGATTGCACCTCTCGCAGGCCCTGATGTTCAAATCCTCAAATCATTGTTCCTCTCACATGCCCTGGTATTTTCTTTCTTTAAATGATTGCACCTCTCACATGCCCTGGTATTTTCTATCTTCAAATGATTGCACCTCTCACATGCCCTGGTATTTTCTTTCTTCAAATGATTGCACCTCTCACATGCCCTGGTATTTTCTATCTTCAAATGATTGCACCTCTCACAGGCCCTGGTATTTTCTATCTTCAAATGATTGCACCTCTCACAGGCCCTGGTATTTTCTATCTTCAAATGATTGCACCTCTCACAGGCCCTGGTATTTTCTATCTTCAAATGATTGCACCTCTCACAGGCCCTGGTATTTTCTATCTTCAAATGATTGCACCTCTCACAGGCCCTGGTATTTTCTATCTTCAAATGATTGCACCTCTCACAGGCCCTGGTATTTTCTATCTTCAAATGATTGCACCTCTCACAGGCCCTGGTATTTTCTATCTTCAAATGATTGCACCTCTCACAGGCCCTGGTATTTTCTATCTTCAAATGATTGCACCGCTCACAGGCCCTGGTATTTTCTATCTTCAAATGATTGCACCTCTCACAGGCCCTGATTGAGAACAGCACGACCTTGGCAAGATTCGCCAGCGTGTGCCAGAGTTGTGGTCTCGTGCCCATTGTGTCACCGGAAGTGTTGATGACAGGTCAACACGACTCTGCGACTGCGCAGATGGTCATGAAGGATGTCCTGACCTTTCTGATGAAAGCCTTGTCCGACTACCATATCTATTCTGAGGTTAGCGTCGCTAAATATAAGAGCGTTGGGCGGCGATGGAGCTTTGAGGTAGCTTAATTAGACACAAACACTCTGCGTAGATAAGACAAGGTACACGTTCAGCTTTCATGATGATTTGTACAAAATACACATTTTAAACGTGTCGACAAATGCCTTCATCGGTACAAAACATTTAAATAAGTATAAATTAAGTCTAAGTAATATATAATTACATGTATCCTATCTAAAAAAAAAATAGAAAAGAATAAGAGTGGGTGCAAAGCCAGACCAAAAACAACGCTAAGTTAAACAGGACGGAAATGAAGTGAGTAGACTCATTAGAAGTAAGATGTAAAAACCAAACAGAAAAATGACATGGCAGCTACAAAAAAATTGTGGCTTCGGTTTATGCCGTATGGAGTCAACGTACCGAATCTTGTTATAAGTTTATTTCTCCATATAAGTCCTATCCGATGTATTACTTGCATACAGTATAATTATTTAGAGCAGCGTGGTCGTTCCAATGAATTTACCATTTTTAAATGCAGGCCAAAAAATGTTGATTGTAAGGCCTCATTGGACCTTTAACGGGACCTAGCCGTGAAGGATTTGGTATAAACAAAGAAAATTGTATTTAAATTAGAAGCATAAGAGTAAGTCTCGCTGTCGGCGTGGAAGTGTCAATGTCGGGCAAGGAAGTCTCGATGTCTTGCAAGGAAGTCTCGCAGTCAGGCAAGGAAGTCTCGCCATCGGCCAAGGAAGTCTCGCCGTCGGGCAAGGAAATCTCGCCGTCGGGCAAGGAAAGATCGCTTCGGGAAATGATGTCTCGTCGTCGGGCAAGGAGGTCTCACCGTCTTTTTTTAAGTTCACACGTTAAAAATTTCGTTCAGATTTCTTTTTGAACGCATTATTTTGTTTTACTATACAGTAAAGTGCGCTCACAAATAAATTTGAAGAAATTTTTAACGTGGGAACTGAAAAAAATGATTCGACCAAATTTCCGTTCCATCAAATTTCCTTCGATCAATTTTTCCGTCGACCAAATTTCTTTGATCAAAATGCCGGATACGCTCTGATTCACCGTCGTCGACTCTCTTGGGGACATTATTTTTTAAAAATCTCTTAACCCACCTTTTCCTTTTCTACTCACCCCCCAGGGCCTCATCTTACGCATGTCAGTCGTGTGCCCCATTCCGCTGCAGCAACCGTCGCTGGACGTCGGTTACGTCGGTAATATCACATTGAAAGCTATCAACGAAAGTCTGAGGCCAGCGTTGGGCGGGGTGAGTTACACGACACGTTCATCGAACAGATTTCTTAGGAAGATACATCAGAGGGGTGTGTAGGTACAACGTCCTTGGTGTGATAAATATATACATCGGCTTCTGCGGGCAAGTTATAGCAACACTCTGGCCATTTGAAGGGCGACAAGCAGGTTTAACAAAAGCAGGTTTAACACAGGGAGGCTTAGCACATACAGGTTTAACACAGCCAGGTTTAACACAGGCAGGTGTAACACAGCTGGTTTAACACAGACAGGCTTAACACAGCCAAGTTTTACACAAGCCGGTTGAACACATGCATGTTTACCGCAGGCACTTTTAGCACAGTCAGGTTTAACACAGCTGGTTTAACACAGACAGGCTTAACACAGCCAAGTTTTACACAAGCCGGTTGAACACATGCATGTTTACCACAGACATTTTTAGCACAGCCAGGTTTGACACGGGCAGGTTTAACACAAGCAGGTTTAATAAAAGAAGTTTAACACAGGAAATTATAACACAAGCAGGTTTAACACAGGTAGGTTTAACACATCCAGGTTTAACACAGGCAAGTTTAACACATCCAGGCTCAACACAGGCAGGTTTAACACAGACAGGTTTAACTTAAGCATTGCTTAGTTATTAATAAACAAACGTTTTATTTAAAGACCCAATAACTTAAACATTTTTTTTTTTAAATTTGGTATATTGCGGTCAAGATGTCAGTTTGTCCTTTAAAAAAATCATATTTTTAACCTATTTTGTCCTAATGCCAGATTCTAAAGAGCAATTTTATAATTTAAAACCATCTGCCTACTATGCCAGATTGTAATAGCAAGTTTGGAAAACCTGGACATTTCAACCCGGGTGCTGAATGGCATCAACAAATGTCCGGCCAAGAAGCCTACTTTCATCAGCTTCTGCTTCAGCAACGTCATCCAAGATGGCGTCATGGAGTTATGGGATGGACAGGATAAAAATGTGGAGAAGGCGAGGGAGACGTTGCTGGCAAGGTTAAAGGTCAGTTGACAGACACTGTTGGCAAGGTTAAAGGTCAGTTGACAGACACTGTTGGCAAGGTTAAAGGACAGTTGAAAGACACTGTTTGGCGAGGTTAAAGGTCAGTTGACAGATACTGATGTCGAGATTAAAGGGTTAAAGGTCAGCTGACAGACGCTGTTGGCGAGGTTAAAGGTCAGTTGACAGACACTGTTGGCTATTGACTAAAGGTCAGTTGACAGACACTGTTGGCGGGGTTAAAGGTCAGTTGACAGACACTGTTGGCAAGGTTAAAGGTCAGTTGAAAGACACTGATGTCGAGATTAAAGGGTTAAAGGTCAGTTGAAAGACACTGTTGGCAAGGTTAAAAGTCAGTTGACAGTCACTGTTGGCTATTGACTAAAGGTCAGTTGAAAGACACTGTTGGTGAGGTTAAAGGTCAGTTGACAGACACTGTTGGCAAGGTTAAAGGTCAGTTAACAAACGCAGTTGGCAAAGTTAAAGGTCAGTTGAAAATCGCTGTTGTCAAGTTTCAAGGTAAATTAACAACCACTGTTGACAAGGTTAAAAATCAATTAAAGTATGATGCTGGCAAAGTTAAATATAGATCAATTATCATTAGAGACCGACCGAAAGTGATTTTCTGATTTCGGCCGAAGCCGAACATAGGCCGAAAGTTTAAAATGACTTTCGGCTGAAACCAAAAATAGGCAGAAACTTTAAATGACTTTCGGCCGAAACCTAAAAAAGACCGAAAGTTAAAAATGACTTTCGGACGAAACTGAAGCCGAAACCGAAAATTAAATATTTTGATATTTTTAAATTCGTTCCCGCATACATTCTACATACATCAGAAATGATGGGGGA